GTGTGTATCTCTCTCTCTTTCTTTCTGTATGCCTCTCTCCCATCCTCCCTCCCTCCCTCTCTCTCTTCCCTTTCCTCCTGTCCTTCCACTCTCTCTAAAAATCATAGGAAAAAATACCCTTGGGTGAGGATTAACAAACAAACAAAAAAGTAATGCATGGCTTAAAAACTTAACCCAATTATAACCTGAGAAATTTAAGTTAAAACCAAAACTTTCCCCAAATAATATTAACATGGACTTAATACTCTATACTTCAACAAGTTCCTTACTAATATACTTTAAAACAAACCAACAATGGATATTTAACTGCTCCACTTTTAAAAAGATGTATTCACGTCTGAACACTAAAACAGAGTCCATCTGATGTGCGTATTCATACACAGGTTACACTACCAACACATATGTAACTGGAGGCCCGGTGCATGGATTCTTGCACGGATGGGGTCCCTCAGCCTGGCCTGCATCCTCGGGGGATGTAGCAGTGCCAAAGTGGCAGGCGGCCAGGAAGGAGCCCCAGCCGGGGCCTCTCATCCTGGCCCTGCTGCGCCTGCTGCAGCGTGGAGGCAGGAGAGGCTCCCAATGCCGCAGCTGCAATCGCCAGCCATGAGCCCAGCTTCTGGCTGAGCTACGTTCCCGCTGCAGGAGTGCACTGACCACCAGGGGGCAGCTCCTGCATTGAGCATCTGCCCCCTGGGGGTCAGTGTGGGTCATAGTGACCGGTTAACCAGTCGTTCCAGTTGTTCGGTCTTAACGGTCGTTTAGGCTTTTATATACATAGATGATCTAGAGTTTCTCTTACTGTGTCATATATACTTTCAAATTACTATTGGGTAGAAATAATTCCCTTAAGAATATAAAAAGAGGGTACTTTATTCCTTACCCAAGCTTCTGTTGCTCCCCTGAGAATTTTTCCTCGATGAAGAGCTGCTAGGCACACTGGACAGTGAATCATGTCTCTACAAATAGAATTCTGTAGTCAGAAGCTGCATGTCAAACTTGAAGGCGTCTGAAATAATACCTACCCTACTACCAAAATGCATGCTAACCATTTTGACAGTTACTAATCAGAATTTTCCACTTTTAGATAGAAAAGATTTCTGTGTGTGCTATCAGGAAAATCTTACATATCTTACTAGATAATATATGGAAAAGCCTTTGCTGTTTGGTTTGGTTTGGTAATAAGGATGAAGAGATTATGCTCTACACAATTCCAATGTATGCTAAAGAACTGGTGCTATAAAGAATTAAGTTTGCAAAAATTTAATTCAGCTGGGATTATTAAAGATTATTTAGAATACACTTCATTTTAATAAAATATATGTATATATGTTCATGTGAAAAAAGCCCACAAATATGTAAAAACAATATCTGCACAGTGTTTTTACTCAGTTACAGGAATATAGGTGATTTGTCTTTTTACTTTGCTTAAGTCTACTTTCTAAGTTTTAAATAATAATCACAGTTCACGTGTATTAAAAAAAACATTTTTTAAATGTCAAAAATTTGTCAGTTCTATTTGAAACATAGGACAGTATTTTAATATTAATGAATAATTAAAGTTCTACATCTCAATAGAAATACTACTTTTTATTAACTAGTTTTGTTCATTAAAGAAAGTAAAATCAATAAGCACTTTAAAATATATACCATTTTAAATTCCAAGTATCTGAGTGCATATCAAATGAGAGCTATAAGACTCATAAAAAAAAACAAAACTACTGCCTTTTTTATTCACTTGAAAGCTAAAATAATGCACATGGGAAATATCAAGTGTTTATCAGAAGAAGTATAAGAATAGATACATCTACATACGATGCAAAGCATGTTGTTCCTAATGTAATTTACACCATTTTGAATTTTTAGCTTGAAAATAAATTATCGGATATAATTAAATTTATATAAATAATTTACCTGCATGAACTTCTGAGATGAACTTGTAAGATCAAACATAGACTTGCTTAGCCCAGGGGAACCAGGGAGTTTGTTGGTCCTTAAATCACAAACTACAAAAAGACGTAAGTAAATTACTGATAGTAAAAAAGAAGAAATTCTATTTAATTACAATGAATTAAATCTTTTTAGAAATATATCATGAATATTATGCGCAAATCTACTTACGAGATAAAACCTAACAAAATTTAAATTTTTTTTTCAATTATTTTACTTTGAAACAAAAACCAATAAAAATCAAACAATACATTTGTACATCCACATCAAATATCAGGCAGGGAAAATTCGTTATTTTCGCTACATTCCTCAATTCTTCATCTCATGAGAATAATCAAAGCGGTAAGTCCCCGGCGCTAAATGCAAGTCAACTATTTAATGAGCACTTTTTAAAAAAAAATCAACACCAAATCCTAGGTGATCCTATATGGCTAGTTTTCCTCCTGAACTGTAAGATCCTGGAAGAATAGAACTCGGCATACTAATGTGTATTCTAGCACAGTACTGAAATAAATAAGTACTTAAATAAATATTTCTGCTTTACTTTTAGTGCCTGAATTCAATGTTGAGACAGATGTGTGACCTGAAGAACAGTGAGAAATTTGTGAATTAGATATGTACAAGATACACTATCACTGATGCAGTTTCAAATATGAAACTAAGAAAGTTCTAAATATCACTTAGGCATTTCCTATTTTCTCTGTTTATATTTGTAAACCTATCATGTTTCTAAATATATCATTTTTATTATGTAGAGCAGAAAAGGAACATTTATGAACGGACAGATGATATATAACATATATCAAAATAATCTGTAAACAAAACTTTTTTTTTTCAAAAATAGGACAAATAAAATGGAAGTTAGAACTCACTAGCACATACAACTTATTAGTCTTTCCATTTGTATATTAGATATAATGCCGCAAAGAATCAGGGTGCTTCACTCGGCACTTCTGAAGCCTGCTTTCCCCTTTTTTGTAAATTGTTTTCCGTAATAAGAATCATCTCTCCCAGGGTCTCTGGTTTAATCTGACTTGGACATTTTTTGCTAAAAGAGAAACACAGAGAGCCAGCACGGCTGCCCCAGCTGAGGAGGAGAAAGTGGGAGCAAATAAAGAAGGATCTGGGAGTCTGATGGGCTTTGGTCTTTTTGACTAAACCTCTCTTGTAACACATTCAATAAAAAGCTGAACTCTGAGAAAAAAGAACTACAAGGAGGGGGAAAAAACACACAAAAGATTTCAAACCTGATCCATACAGTCTTGTCACTTCTGAAGTAGGGGGAAAGCGCCGACTCAGATCTGGGGAAATGTGCTGATACATATAGAACGGGTTGTACACGTCATAGCTGGATCCAGGGTGGGAGGAGCCGGAAAGTTCTGCCTTTCGATCCCCAAAAGATGCTCTGGCCGATCCTGAAAGCAAATGTTTCTAAAGTTTTATGACGTCCTTTTCTTGGGAGTTACTAGCCAACAGCTGGTGCATTCAAGGAAAAAGGAAAAAAATTTGTTTCGAGTAATATTAACTCGCATGTGTTTGATATCTAAAAAAATAAGCACCCTTTTACGGAGCTCTAAGTGTGGGGAGTATCCTGCCAGGGACAGCCATGAACTCTGCTCTCAAGACAGTCTGGTAAATTTTTGACATTTTTCTTTGCCCCTAAGCACACTATTCCAAAACGTTGTGGACAATTCTGTATTTTGTGACTGGAGTTTCCTTTTATTTTTCTACTTACACAAAGCACATCTTTTCAGTAAAAAGATCATCTCTTTTTAGAAATGTGCTCTTTACACGAAGACCACAACATTTATAAAAACGGACCACAAGCTCATTTCTGTCTGGCATCTTTTTGTTGTTGTTGTTAATCTTCATTGTTTTTCCATTGTTTTTTAGAGAGAGTGGAACGGAGGGGAGGGAGGGAGGGAGGGGGAGGGAGAGAGAGAGAGAGAGAGAGAGAGAGAGAGAGAATCATCAATGTGAAAGAGACACATCGATTGACTACCTCCCCCACCCACCCTGATGGGCGCGGGGGATTGACTCTGCAACCCAGGTTCACTCCCTTGACCGGAAATTGACTCTTCAGTGTGCAGGCCGATGCTCTAACCACTGAGACCACCAGTCAGGGCTTTGTCTGACATCCTATCAGGACATCAGTGGTAGCCGCTGCTCTCCGAGTTTGCTGTACGGCCCAAGAATGACAAGAAGAAGAACGACGCCAGAAAGTCAGCTGAGAAAGACCCAGCGAACAAATGTGGGGGCAAGGCCCAAAGGAAGTCGTGGTCCAAAGGCACAGTCTGGACACGCTCAATAACCTGGTCTTGCCTGACAAAGCACCACATGGCAAACTCTGTAAGGAAGTCCCCAACGAGAAGCTTATAAGCCCAGCTGCTGTAGCTGAGAGATGAAGGTAGAGAGAGCTTCCTTGGCCAGGGACTTATTAAACTGCATTCAAAGCACAGAGCTTGAATAATTTACATGGCAAACACCAAAGGTGGGGCGCCCCAACCGCTGGAAAAGAGGCATGAACAAACTGTACATTTTGAAAAATAAAACGTTATTAAATAGAAAAAAGAAACTGACCATAGGCTGAGATACACAGAGCCAGTCTCAACAAATTATAAAGAACTGAAATCATAAAGAGTATGTTCTCTAACACCAATGCAATAAAGTTAGAAATCAAATAGCAAAATGGATAGGAAGTATTTATATTGAAACATAAAGGACCAAAAATAATAAAAAAGGTAATCTTGAAAAACAACAAGATTGAAAGATTAGCTCTACTGGGTATTAAGAAAGGAATACTGGCACCAACGGTAAGATCAATGGAGCGGAATAGAAGGCCCCAAAAGAGACACCCATTTTATGGTCACATGATTTATAATGAGTGTGGCACTGGTGCTTTTCACTAAAAGGGGTAAGACAACTGAATATTGATATAGAGAAAACAACAACCTTCATCCCAACTAAATATATTCACAAAAATCAATTCCTTGTGGGTTGTGGCTCTAAAATAATGTTAAAGGCAAACCCATAAAACTTCTACATTAAGTACATTTATCAGAAGTCTACCTAGCCTTAGGGCAGAGAAGCACTTCTTAAAGGGAAAACAGCCTTAATCATTACAAGTTTTTAATAAACTCAACTATATTATATTTGAAATTTTCCAAATCTTCCATTTCCAAAGACTATTTAAGAGAGTAAAGAGGTAACCCACAGAGGGGAGAAGATATGTGCAAAAATATAACTAACAAAGTGCTTATATCCAGAATTTATGAGGAACTCCCACAAATCAATAAGAAGAAGATAAGCAAGCCTATATGTAAATTAGCTTAAGACTTAAGCAGACACTTCAGAAGAGAATCTATTCAAATAGACAATAAACATGATCTGGTGCTCAATCTCACTGATCATGAGGGAAATTAAAACTCTAATAAGATACCACTACATGCTCACCAGAATAGTTAAAATTAAAAAGCTGACAATAGCAAGTGTTGACAAGAAAGCAGAGCAATGTGAATGATCATACTCTGCTGATGAAAATGTAAATTGATATAATCACTGTGGAAAAGTTTGCTTAACTTCTACTAAAGCTAACGATATTTCTAACCTACAACCCCAACATGCCATTCTGGGACATATACACAACTGAAATGCTTGTACATGTGCACCAAGAGACAAGTACAAGAATGTTCATAAGCATCATTATACACAATAGTCGAAAACTGGAAAAAACTCAAATGCCCATCAACAATAAAAATAGATGAATTGCAGTATATACTTGATACATAAAAATATCTTATGCAACGGTCGCCAGTCAGTGATCTGCGGACCACTGGTGGCCTGGGAGGTCCAAAAGGTTGGCGACTGTTGCCTGATAGTATGCTATACAGAAACACTTCTGTATCTCACCATTAGACAACAATAGATAAGTACACTCTCTGTACAGATATAAAAACAAACTGAAGCTTACTAACAACAATCTGAGTAAATTTCACAAACATAATGCTGACTGAAAGAACCCACAAACAAAAGATAAAAACTGAATATGTTATTTCATTTACATAAAGGTCAGAAAACATACAAAAAACGAAGCCATAACATTTAGGAATATGTACTTAGGTGGTAAAAAGTAAGAAAAGCAAAAAAGCGATAGTGATTACTCTGAAGTGACTGAACAGGGAAAGATGGAAGCTTTGGGGTTGCTGGCTTTCCTCTCTTTACTTGAGTGGTGACTATACACATGATTTGCTGTGTAATAAATCACTGCCCGATAGATTTCTTTGTTCCTTTTTTCTACATGTGTTTTATATTTAGATCAAATTTTCTTCAAAGCTTATAATCACATTGGAAATAATATATATACACATAAAGTTTTTTAAATGTTGAAATAATTGCCATGTTTTCATTCTTTTTGTTCCATTTAAAACAGAACCCACAGTATAAAGTAGTATTTTCTGAATTAAGCTAAACAATAAAGCAGGTAGCTTGACATTGAGTTCAGAAAAGAAAAATAAAATATGAGGTTATGAGGTGAGATTCTATCCTCATCCTGTTTCAAAAAAAAAACTATGTATACAATCCAAGCACAGCCCATGGTCAGAGGGGTGCCAAGAGGGAGCTATGATGCCAGAGAGCCTAAAGAGTGGGCACCCCTATGAGCTAACACTTGACTCATTCAACACATAAACAACTACAAAAGTCTATGGTAACAAGAATAGCACTGTCAAGAGCATGACTCACTGCCTTTATAGGGTATACCTAAAAAGGAATATTCTGATTTCATTTTTCCTTTATAAGTAAGCCATTACAGAATTCCAATTTTCCCCTCAAACAGTACATAGTGATAGCAGTTTTTAAGTTCAAGAGGAATTTCTCTCCATTTACAGAACCACACTGTTGTAAAGTTGCATAATTGCCAACACATCTCAAAAGCCCTATTTGAAATTTCAATATTAATTCAAAATGTATCCTCTGGATGGGTAGGTAGGTAGGTGATAAAGCCAGCACAGTAAAACTTTAATGACAGATCTGTCTGCTATCAAAGCAGGAGTCTACAGCTGTGATCAGACTCATTCGCAAGTAATGGGACAAAACAAATTTCAAATATTTGAAACATAATTTAAGTCACAATTGATACTGGTTTGCTCTATCTTCTTCTCAAAATCTCCATATCCGCCCATCACTCACACATGCATTTGCACATACAGCTTACACATATTTTACTTCTATAATTAGGTACCAAGAAGACTTTCCCGGCTTTAGTTACATAAAGTAATTCTCTCTCCAATATGCCAAAAATCAGATGGCTTCACCACATCCACTGTGAGCCTACAATCTAAGTATAAGCCAATTTCTGACTCAGTCAGCTAAAAAAGTAATATTTATTAACGATACAATGAAAAAGAAGAAAAAGAAAAACGACCACATATTGCCAGGTAGGTATTTCTTACTTATTTTCTGATTACGAAAAACCCCCCACATAAAATACTTTAAATGACTAAGAATAGATAATTTATAAATTGCAGTACATCCATATAATTTAATACTATAAAGCCATTAAAAAGTAATGAATATGAAAACATGTTCATAACAGATGATATGAATAAAATAAATTGCAAGACTGTTGACATGGCTTAATCCCAATGTTGTTAAACAGGTATGAGAGAAAGAGAAAAGTCAATTAATCATGGTATCCTGTGAGCCAGAGCTTTTAAAAACTATTTTTTAGAGATATATGAAAAATAAGACATAAGGTCCATCTTTCCATGTTTCTTAAAAAAAAAAAAAATCACTTCTCCTAGACCTTATTCGCTTATAGATAACACTAAACTCTACACCAAAACCCAAAGGCACTGGAGCATAAATAAAAGCAATGCAGATTCTGGACAGGATTTGACTGTTGGAAAAAAAGAGAACAGTACAAAATTAGTTACCTGTTTTTAATAACTTTTAGCCGAAGGGCAGGCCAATGTTGGCACTGAGCAGGGCGGGTAAAACTCCAATAGAAAATTCAGTCTTTCTGGCCTGAAGAACCAGAAGGCAAAGTTCAGAGCAATCACAGCAGCTAGAAATTAAGGTGGGAATCTTGGAAAGGAGAAAACCCCAGATTATGCGAATAGTCTGCTCAAATACCTGGCTGATCCCTGAACCACACATGCGTGGGACAGACTCCAGCCAAGGTTAATAAAACTAAGCTGAGGTAAGAGCTGCCACTACCAAGTTGCAGAATCCAACCAAGTTAATTGCCTGCTGAAAAAAAGAAAAGAAAGGAAAAAAAATAACCCTCTGAGTAATATAACAGATTTGAATCCTTAAAATATAATATCCAACATCCGGAATACAATCCAAAGTTACCAAACACAAAGAAACGGGAGAATATGACCCATTCTCAAGGAAAAAGACAATACACTGAATTCAAACCTAGATCACCTCAGTGTCAGAATTTTTAGGCAAACATGGTGAAGTTCAAAAATATAACGGAAAATGACTCAAAATAATGAAAAATATATGTCTAAAACAGGAAATTCAGTGGATAGGCTTAACAACTGAGTGGAGATAACAAAGGAAAAAGAAAATAACTTGAAGATAGATCAATATTATCCAATCTTAAGATCAGAAAAAGAAAAAAAAGATCGGGGGGGAAAAAGAAGTCTCAGAAACACATAAAAACAATATCAGAGAGTCCTACATATGTGTAATTGGAAACCCAGAAGAAGAGAAAAAGGGACAGAAAAAAATATTTGAAGATATATTCTAGGTCTTGATAGTTTTTATTACACTAATATATGCATTTGTCAAACTCAAAAATTACACACTTAAAACTTGGGCAGCTCACTGCATGTAAAGTTTATGTTGAAAGAAGAAGACTAAACAGATGCTGAACTCTAGTAAGTTATATAAATGCTTAAATGTTTAGAGGGAAGTCTACTAATGTCCATAATTTACTCCGACATGCATCCTCCTCCACAAGAAAGTATTAATAACGCACAGAGAAATGAATAGATGAATATGTGATAGGAAGTATACTAAAATGTAAAAATCTATATGATAGATATGTAGAGGTATTTACCACTAAATTCTTTCAATTTTTCTTTCAAATTCTTTCTGTATGTTTGAAACTTTTCGTAATAAAATTTTGAGAAAAAATAATCATTGTAACAGTTTCAATCCACTAGAACAAATTATTTTTAAAATACAAGAGTTACATGTTGTTTCCTCTTCATTAGTCCATTGACCTCTACAATATCAGCCAAAATTCAAGCCAATAAACCTACCTCATTCAAGCTATTTAGACTGGCAAGTGTACTTATAGACTGGGGAGCATAGTGGTGAAGAAAGATGGGAAGGAAGAAAGACTAGTTCATTGCTTCTTTATTTCTCTTTACACCAACCTTCAGAAAACAGTAGACAGAATGTTTCCTCTATTTACTGATCAAATCCAGAGTAATTCCTCTATTTTTTCTTTCCTCACGTATGAAGGATAACTGATTATAATTATTAATAGTGGCCCGGTGCACGGATTTGTGCACATTGAAAGGAAATTAATTAGAAGGAAGATTCGTACGGAAATTGCGTTGCTGCAAAAAATTACATGTCAAAATAGTATATATAATATAGTATTATAGACTTAAAATACAACATATTTTAATATGTATCGCGCATGCGCGAGTCAACATTTATTTTTAAATTGACAGTGTGCATCATATGTACCAGACGGTCGGTCACACGCAATTGGTGCCAGCGAGAGCTTTATATGTATAGCGCATGTGCGAGTCGGTTGGTCGGATGGTCAGACATACGTACAGTTGGTCACTCAGCCTTTTACATAGAGAGATTATTCATTTAAAAAAGGCCAAATATAGATACAAATGTGTTGTATTATGGTCAGATTTCATAATGAGAGCTTTCAAAAATACTAAACATTAAGTTCCTCTACAGAAAGAACAAAACACCAGAAGCGAAATGTAAAATTTGTGTATAAAAGATACACCTTTATGTTAAATAGAGCAAAAACAGCATTGAAAGGCTACATGCTGATTTTTAAACCCTGGCATTTTTCTTGTTTACCTTCAAGTTCTTCTAGATGTGAAGGAGTTCCTTGCGTCCTGGGCTGAATATAAGATAACGTAAACTTGGGCACCACAAATGGTACTTGTTTGCCATCAGATGGTAACTTGGAAAGTAAATAATCCTCAGTACAGCCAACCTGAGGCTTTACACAAACAGAAGTCAACGGAGGGACACAGACGGCAGTCTTTTGACTACTTGAGACTGCTGTTTTAGCTTCCACAGAAACTGCATGGAAGAGAAGGGAAAAGAAAAGAAAAAAAATCACAAATACGTACTCAGATTTATATATAAAAATCCACACCTAGCATGCTCTGGTATTTATCCAATCATTTCAGAAGAAACAGCTGATCCATAAACTACTCTTGGGCCCTATCAAGCACTTCTGGCCTCTACGTTAATTCCGTCCAGCCAATACTCGAGCAATTAATACACGACTGCCAAAGTATAATAACAGCATAATGGTGAAAGGAGGCTTTAAAGACTCATTCCCACAAGAGTTCATACAAGGAAAAACAAGTTTATTTTGAAGTTAATTGTACAATACTTTCAAGTGAAATCTAGTCATTTGAAACTACTCTCAACAAAGCAATTCTTTCTTCTGGTCAATACTAATGGTTACATCAGTCTTGAATACATAAAGCAATTCTGAAAAACCTACTTTTAAGTCTCTAAGTCTACAAAAATCACAAAATAAAATATACACCAAATCACAAAATAAAATATACACTGACCCTAACATGATAGCAACTCTCCTTGTGCTAGCTTCTCTGACCTACTTTGTTCGATAGACTGATATATAATTCCTAAAATGAGGGAGTTAGGATGGGGAGGTACGGGACACCCAGAGTTAATCCACCTGTAATACTCATGTCCAATCCTCCTCTTCCCTTACTTCCTTCTCCCCACTCAGTTTGCTAACATCCTCCTCATATTTCCACACCAAATGTCACCTCCTTTGTGGGATTGTCTCAGGGTGCCTCCTGGGTTGAATTCATCTCTCCTCACTGTGCCCCGGCTATTTTAATACTTACCTAGCGTGCCTTATATTTATGTTTCTGCCTCCCTCATGCAGTTAGGAAATATGTCTCATTTATTTTTATATTAAAAAATGCCACAAGTAAGGGGACATTAAATAAACGTTTGTTGAAGTCATAAAACGAAACTCACCGTTGTGCTTTTCTGTTTCACCATAGAAACATCCCCTACAGCAACTCTTTATAAATTCTGTTGCCATTACACTCAATTTCCAATATCCAGCAAAAGATGCACGCTTCCAACTTTAATATTAATCTGTTGGTAGAAAAGAAAACAAGTTAAAATAATCATGCTTAATTCCATTTGGTATCACCAAATAAATCAAATTATCGGTCTTTCTAAGATGTTCAAATATTCAGAGGAAGGTAGATTTTTTGTTCCTATTTGTAATTTTTATAACCTGGGCTCCTTATAAGTTAATAAAAATGGAATTGAACAACCTGAATGTTAAATGTGAAAAAAAATCCCCACTCTCCATTTTCTCTTTAGCCTCATATATCTAAATTGATGTCCAAGCAAAATTTGAAACAGAAAATGGCCCTCATAAAAAAGTATGAAAAAAAATTCACTTGCTCCAAATCAATTCTTTTGGTAACCCAAAGACCTTATAATGGGGGCCAATAAACAAATAATTTCATACTTTATGAGTTAGCTTAGTGCTTAGAATTACACTAGCACTAAGCTAGTATGTGTTAAACCCTGTAACACATACATGCAATGCTATCTAAGTCACAAATAAGAGATGTTGAAAATAAAGGGGGTCTGTTAAGTTTTCCAGAAATGTAAGACTGTATAAGGAGACACATTTGTTGTGGGAACAGTGCACCAATCACAAGACACATTTCATGGACAAGCTAACCTGGCATTCAAGAACAAGACTGCCCCTGGCTTTTGGGTTCGAGATGGCAAACTAGGAAGATCCTGAGCTCACCTTCTCTCATTGACACCAAAACTACAACTACACACAGAACAGCCATCTCGGAGAGCAACCTGAGGACTAGCAGAGCAGGTTTCCCACAACTACGGATGTAAAGAAAAGGCCACACTGAGACGGGTAAGAGGGGCAGACTCAGTCAGGCAGGACCCACCCTAACCCCCATCCCCCGTGTGGTGGCTCACAAGTGGGAGGGATAGCGCAACTACAGAGGTCCCCCACCAAGAGCGAGGGGTCCAAGCCTCAGCCTGGGGGACCTGCACCAGGAGGAGGAGCCTCCAGAGCAGTGGTTCTCAACCTTCCTAGTCCTGCGACCCTTTAATACCGTTCCTCATGTTGTGGTAACCCCCAACCATAAAATTATTTTTGTTGCTACTTCATAACTGTAATTTGCTACTGTGATGAATCGTCATGTAAATATCGGATATGCAGGATGTATTTTCAGTATTACAAATTGAACATAATTAAAGCATAGTGACTAACCACAAAAACAATATGTAATTATATATGTGTTTTCCGACGGTCTTAGGCGACCCCTGTGGAAGGGTCATTCGACCCCCAAAGGGGTCGCGACCCACAGGTTGAGAACCACTGCTCTGTAGCATCTGGCTTTGAAAACCAGCAAGACTTATTCTGGGAGAGCCAAAGGGCTGTGGGAAACGCAGGTTGTGCTCTTTCTGAGTTCAGGCACGCAGGCAGCAGTTTGAAAAGCATCTGTGTCATATATGAAGGTGATAGATACATGGACCAACTTTAGGGTATGTGCTGGAGGGGCAGGGATCTTTCTCCAGAGTCCAGAGTGCTGCTGGGCACCTCATTCCCCCCACTGCTTTACTCTCTTCCCACCTAACTGGTCTGATGCTGGCAGGCGCCATTTCTGACTCTCCATTAACCTTGCGAATACTGTTCAGCCCCCTAGCATTTCCCTGACGACCTCTCCAAAGCCTGCCACACCGGTGGGCGACCTCAGCCAGCATCTGTGCACAGCAATGTGTCTACAACAGTCTGCAAAGCTGAAGATATGCATTGTAAACTGTAAAGCAACCACTAAATAAGAAAACAGAGGTTTAACTAAAAAGCTAAAAAGTTGATCAGATGGAATTATAGGAAAAGATTCTTAATGTAACAGAAAGCAGAAAAAGGGAGGGGCAAAGAAGAACTGAGATGAACAGTAAAAAATAGCAAGATTATACAGCAGGTGGAACACAAAAACAGGTGGGATGAATAGGAAATAGCAAAATGATACATTTAAACCTAACTATGTCAATAATCACATTAACTATAAGTGCTTTAAATATGCCAATTAAAAGGCAGAGATTGTTAAGACTGGATAAAAAAGCATGACCCAAGTATATGCTGGCTATAAGAAATGTACTTTAAATATAGACACAAATAATTTTATAGTCAAAGGATGGATATCCCTCATGAATATAGACACAAAGATCCTCAACAAAATACTAGCAAACTGAACCCAGAAACGTTTAAGTAGGATTATACATCATAACCATGTGAGATTTATCCTAGCATGGCAAGGCTGGTTTAACATCTGAATATCAATTCATGTAATACATTACATCTACACTAATAAAAGAGAAACATGGTAATTGGCATATGACCGCTACCCTTCCCAGTGGCTAATCAGTGAGATATGCAAATTAACTGGCAGCCAAGATGGCGGCCGGCAGCCAGGCAGCTGATGCGAACAGGGAGGCTTGCTTGCTTCAGTGACGGAGGACTCCGACATTCCCCGCCTGACTTGCCGGCCTCTCAGCTGCAACTCTAAGTAACTATGTTGCAAATATAGAAGTTAAACAAACCCCCAGAAACCTGCTCTACTCAGCCAGGCTTCAGCCAGCTGGACCGCAACATTCTATCAAATACAGACGGTAAACAAAGGCCAGAAACTGGTTTTCAGCAGCCGAGGCCTCAGAGCTAAAGCTGGCCCAGAATAAAAAAAGAAAGAAAAAGAAAAAACGGAGCGGTCGGGAGCTTCAATCCCTGCCTGAAAACAGCCCTCAGCCCCTTACCCAGATTGGCCAGGCACCCCAGTGGAGACCCCCACCCTGAAGGGTGTGTAACCAGCTGCAAACAGTCATCATCCCCTCACCCAGGCTGGCCAGGCACCCCAGTGGGGACCCCCACCCTGATCCAGGACACCCTTCAGGGCAAACCAGCTGGCCCCCACCCACACACCAGGCCTCTACCC